GAAGGGAAGGGAAGGGAAGGGAAGGGAAGAGAAGAGAAGAGAAGAGAAGAGAAGAGAAGAGAAGAGAAGAGAAGAGAAGAGAAGAGAAGAGAAGAGAAGGCATCCACTACACAGCAATTAACTACACTACAAACAGTTTACTTGGAAGATGGATACGTTCTTTTAGGGACTTTCATAGGTAAAGCCCAACAGGAATAATGTTCTTGAATATAATGCAATGTGGCAATTTCATACAGGTCTGTACAACCCAGAACCCAAAGTGGTAGAAAGAAATCCCAAGTCCATTCAATTTTTCTGTTTAATAAGAAAAGTCTTTAATTAGGTAAAGAGCATTATTGAAAAACAGTCAACCAAAATACTTTTGGGTAAAGCACTGACTTATTTCTCCCTCCAATGGAACACAAGGCAGGAATTTGTTTTCTGCCCACCTCTGTCCATCGCACACTGGAGTTCTAGGAGTGCAACTGGAGAGGCAGAAGTAGAAGCCTCTACACTGGCCAGGAGGAAGCAGCGTCATCATTGCTCTTAGAGGATTTAGCCCACTGTGGAGAAAACTGCACTAGTAAAAAGCTGAAGTAAGGACTGGTGAGACAGCTCAGTGGACTAAGCAGCTAGGCAAGCGCAATGGACTGGAGTTCGATCCCCAGCAACATCAGTGGCACCGGGCGCACCCTGGGTGCACTGAGCTGGCCACCGAGAGCTGCGTGGTCGGTGGCGCAGGCCTGTAATCGCAGCGCTGGGGAGGCTGAAAGCAGAAGGATCACTATGAGTCTGAGCTGCATAGTGAGACCCTGTCCCAAATACATTAAAAAAAAAAATAGCTGAAATAACACAGATGTGGCCCATTCAACTGTTTAAAAAATTTTAAATCATGTATTTATTTATTTGGTACAGGGTTTCCCTCCCTCCAATGCCAGGTTTTGGTGGTCTGTTCCACACAGGGTCAACCTGGCATGAGGTACTAGGAATCGAACCTGGGTCCATGCACTTGCCAAGCAGTGCTTAGACTACAGAGCTATCTCCCCGGCCCCTGGCCCATTCATCTTTGAGTTAAAAAAATACAATTAATATCCTAACAGTTTGGCCACCTCACCTTCCCCAGAAAGATCAGTTATCACCAGGTACAACCAAAACACTTTGAAAATGATGTAGAGGCAATCTGTTATCTCTGATTACCTATGGGCACCTGCTATGTGACAGGCACCCTACTAAGCATTTTTTTTTTAATGTTAAGAATTCCCTTAACTCTTACTCCCCTGTGCAATAGGTAGTGTTGCTCTCTGTACTATCAATAAGAAAACAGAGGCTCAAAGTGGGAAAGTAACTAATCCAAGGTGACAGAGCTAGCGCCAGCTGAAGCTAGATCCAAGACCAGGTCTGACTATAAAGCTCCACTTCCTTTATTTGGTTTGTGTGCCAGGCAAGATTTATTGCCCTGCTCCTCTAGGAACTTCTGAGAAAGCCTGCCCCCCAATGGTCAGCGAAGACCTGGAGCCAAGAGTACTTTGCTTAACTTCAGTTACAAGTGTGGGATTTTTAAAAGCAATGTCCCCAAACACACTGAGCAGTAACAGCAACCTTCTAGAGCCTTCAGCCCGCGGCAGCCCGCATACCATGAGTTTACCACCACTGGTTGAGAATATCGCTAGTATTGCTAGCTTTCTATTATCCAGAGCCCTGATTTCTGTCCTTTTCAAATTCTTAGATGCTTCACTCTACAAACTCTAAAAGAGGTGGGCGGCACTCTATCACCTATGCCCCACCCTAAGAACCAGTAGTGAACAGGAATAGGTTGGACTTCAGTCTGGTGAGATTTATAGCTTGGAACAGAGCAAGCATCCATCTACCCATCCCTTGTGAGAAATTCCTGGCCTGTGTCCAGTTATTTCTAAGTCCAGTCCCAGCCACACAGACCTCGCTGCTGCGTCCAGACTAATTCTCCACAAGGAAGGACAGTCCTGGGGCTGGGAACAAAGGCAGAGGTAAACTGAGGACCTAATGATTTCTTTGCAGGGCTTGTTGCAACACCATGCAGAATCATGGGGGTCGCCCTCGTGAACAAAAAGACAGACCCACAGCTGAATTTCACAGAAGCCCGGGAAGCCTGCAAGCTGCTCGGGCTAACTTTGGCCAGCAAAGCCCAAGTCGAAGCAGCTCTGCTGTCCGGCTTTGAAACTTGCAGGTAAGAAGTAACCGAGTTCAGTAATGCTGCCAGAGCTGCATTGTCGCCATGTCCTCTTTCAAAAATAGACACGGAACCTTTTGATCATTAGTCCGTTCAGCTAGTGTGTATTCTTTTGCAGCTATGGCTGGGTTGCAGAGCGATACGCTGTCATCCCTCGGATTAACCAGAACCCCAGGTGTGGTAAGAATGGGAAAGGCATCCTGATGTGGAAAGCGAACACCCAGCAGAAGTTCAGGGCCTACTGTTACAACTCATCTGGTGAGTCAGACTCTCCAATCTGGTGGCACGTCTTCTCGGGGTAGGAGCAGCTCTGTGATCTGTCGGGGAAGAGTAGCCCTGATGGGCAGCAGCAGAAGCAATCAGGGCAGTAGTCACTGAAATCCCAAGACTGTCTCTCAGACCAGTCTAGAGGAGCAGTATGCCCCTAGTGGAATAAGTTAGGGGAAATATGCTGAACGGTAACCTAAGGAGTGGACACCCCCGAGGCTCATTTTTCATTTCTAATCCCACTTCCTGTAAGTGGGATTACAGGACTAGAAGGGGGGAGAGAATCAAATCTACAGAGGCACACGACGGGTTGGTTACCTTACTGAATCCAGACAGCTTCCTTGTGGGATTGTTTTATCATCTCAATTTATAGACAAAGAAATTTAGCTCTGGGGACGTTAAGTCTCTGTATTGGTCCATTTCCCATTATTTATGAAGAGATACACAAGACTAAGGACCTTATAAAGAAAGGATATTTATTTGGCTCACAGCTCTGCAGCTTCAAGGGCGTGGTAGCAGCAGCGACTTGGCTCTGGGGAAGACTTCGTGGTGGGCGGCCATCACTATGACAAGAACGTGTGATGGGCAAAAAGCATAGAGTAAGACAGGACGTGAGAGAGTGACCCAGGATAGTAACACTCTGGAGAAATAAGCAGAATCTCAAGGCAACTGCTTCGGTTCTTTCAGGTGGCAGCACCCTCGGTGACCTTCCAGTACATCCCATGTCTTCAGGTCCTGCCACTGCTTAGTACTGCCACACAGAGAACCGAGCTTCCCAGGTGTAGATCTTTGGGGCCACGCTAGACAGTATCCAAATCATAGCAGCTTCATTACTAGGAAGACGCAGCTCAGATCTAACTGAGCTCTTCCTGCCACCTCGCTTTCCTTCATAGATGAGGAAACTCAGATGCTACACCTGACATTTCTAAGAACAAAACCCAATCTCCATTTGATAAAGGAAGACACTGGAGCCTAGAAAGCGGAACTGATTTGCTCTTCTTGGTCACACAATTGTGCCAGAAACTTTCCTAGGGAAACTTGGGTACCTTAACCCCTTAGCCCAAGAGCTTTCGCTGAGTGATTTCTTATCTGGGTTTTCCTTCCTGACTATTTGCTTCAGTTTGTCACAAACATCCCCGTCCAATTCATTACTCTTAATGAGTACTCATATAAGTCATCTTCTTAAGACTAGGTGCTGGGTGGTTATATACAAGATAAATTTCAAAAGCATTCTTTTAGTTAACTGAAAAGCTTTGTGTTAATATCATTTGGAGAATTTTTTATGCCCATGTCTTATACTCTGAATAACTATGTTGAAGATAAAGACATATCACATGTTGACTGTTATTCTCCCATTGTTTTGTCATGAAATTTTTTTTTTCTACAAAATAAAATGAGATCATTCTCTAAGACCCAAGAGATCCATTAGCAAAACTAACCCAGGAAGACAATGTAGGAAGCAAAGTAGTTCTCCAATACAGGGACTTTTGCATAGGGAAAGCCCTTGGAGATATCTCCCTTGTCCAGTTCTTTTCATTTGACAGATGAGAACTTTATAACTAAGAATGGACATTTAACTTGTCCAAGTGCTACAGTCAACTAGTGACAGAGTCGAGATTGGACCGCACAATTCCTTCCCTCATGTTTCACCATCCTCCTCCTCCTCTCTGCCGTTAAACTTGCCCTCTTTAGCTAGGGGACTGGTGACTCACACATCGGCTTACCTCACAAGCAGCCCCTGCCTGCCAAGTGGCCTTGCCTGTGATTGCCTAGCCTTCCTGCCAGCTGTCAGTGGGATGGTACGATGCCAACCCTCTGGACCAAACAAAAAGGAGGAAGAAGACGTGGACTGTTTCCTCCTGGGTTTAACTTGTACTCTCAACTCTTGTATTTCTTCTATACTAATATGTAGGCCAAGTGGCTAAGGCACTTAGCCAGTATTTTTAGCAAAAATATTTTATAGAAGATAAAATTGTATGCTTTGGATTATACCACAACAAAATATACTTAGTGTTGCTATATCCCATTATTAATTCTTCTAACTTTAGTCCTTTGATTAAAGTGGTAACTGCCAGATTCTCTAGAAAAATTATAGTGATATGGCTGCCCCTTTGCAGTTAGCATGTAATCTATGATGCGAACCACATGTAACTATGCTGATGCCAGACTCCTTCTACCTAACATGTGAGGGATCAACAGTGATCCTGAATGGGATCAGTTATTGTACAGGGGCTGCAAAATGGTATTTTCTAAGTTTATCCTCTCTTCTACATTTATTAGTTGGCATTTTAATTTTTTAACAACTCTCTCTCTTTCTGTCTCTGTCTCTGTCTGTCTGTCTGTCTCTGTCTCTGTCTCTGTCTCTCTCTCTCTCTCTCTCTCACACACACACACACACACACACACACACACACACACACTCCCTTTGCTTTATACTAACATGGACACATGACACTTTATTTGTTTGATATGGTACAGTCAACCTTGCAGTTATTATTCATTTTATTCTTCTGAATGCCCAAATTGTCTCAAATATGGCAAGTGAAAGCACCTTCTAGCTGCCTGTTGTGTCCTTTGTCCTCTTCAATTTTGAGTAATTCCCGCTGGAGCTTTCCTTGTTTCTCTGCCCATTTTGCTGGACAGCCAGGAACACACATACGCATAATGTACATGAGTACAGACATCGTGACTATACTGGTATTGCCAGCTCAAATTTAACGACGATTTCTTTCTTAATTTACTTTATTTTCTATTTGCATCTATTTTCTCCCATATTGAAAATCTTAGCTCCCAGTAAACAATGTGTTTTATCTGACAACAGTTCTAAAATTACAAAACCAACATCATCAGGGATAACAAACGTACTGAGAGAAATTTGAGATTTCTTTGTAAACATTTTAATTCTTAGAAGAGATCCTTGGAAAGAAGTATGGTCAGGGAACTGAGTGCAAAAGTGACTTCAAAAAATTGCTACTATTCATGGTTGTATTGCCATTTCTAAATAAGTGGGGTTCATTTTCCCCTTTTTGTGACTTGTCCTATTTTTAGGGTTTTTTTTTCCGTAGGTAAAATCTTTACAGTATTCCATGGTCAAAAATATATTTTTCATGTATTTAGTACAGGGTCTACAGGGTCTTACTACACAGATTGGACTCATAGTGATCCTCCTGTTTTCAGCCTCCCAAGCACTGGGATTAGCACCACGCCCAGTCTCAATCTCCATTTCAGCACACCCCAAGGGCAGGGCCTGAACAGCAGTCCAAGGATTAAACCCCAGTACCTGTATCTGCCTTAGCAGGTGCTTTAATCTGCTGAGCTGTCTGGCCAGCCCTAAAAATATATATACTTTAAAAAAGTATAGTCAGAGAAGTTTTATTCCTATTACATCCACCATTGCTATTAACCATTTTTATTTATTTCTGCTCTCATGATTTTTATTTCTGCTTTAACCCTCTGGTTGTTTTGTGTATAAAGAAAAGTCTGTGTGTGTGTGTGTGTGTGTGTGTGTGTGTGTGTGTGTGTGTGAACTTATTTTCTTTTCTTACACAAAACTAGCATGCCCTATATACTACTTTTTCCACTTACCTTCTAGAAATTTCTTCACATCAGTACTTAGAGATATTCTCGTTTGTAATGGTACTCCATGTGCTCCATTGAGTGGTTGCATGCAGCTTTATCAGCCCTCTGTGGATGGATTTGGGAGTGTTTTCTGTCTTTCTAAGGTCTAGGTCTTGAGATTCCAGGTATTGCTGGATCCTCCTGTCTCTGTGCAGAGGCATAAGTGCTTCTACTCCTGAATGGTTCTGTCCTCCTAAGCTTTGCAGCCTCCATACGCCTCCCCTGGTAATGACATTACTCATCTTCCTCCCAAGCCTGGATGGCTTCCCATCCGAGGATATGATGTAAATTGTGAGCTCTTAACACTAGACAAATATGAGAACTTTGGTGTGCGATTTAGGAAGCTTTCACGTTCCTCTCGGAAATTCCCTCCCCTGTGAATAAATGTCAGACTCTTTAACACGGCAGTTCCGAACGTTGGCCCTGACTTACCTCCCAGCCTCCTCCCCTGCTGTGTCTTTCCTATTCCCAGTCACACACACACCATCCCCTAGCCGCTGTTCTCCTTGTCATTGTCCCAGCATAGCTGCACTTTCCAACTTCTGACGTCTTGGATCATGCCGTTCCTGCTGAGTGGAATATCCTGTTTCCTCTTTTATTCTGTGTGGGCCTCTGCTCTGTTTCAGCCATATTGGTTTTCTTACTCATCACTTGGGCCAAATTCATTCAGCTTCTGGCTCTTGCACTTCCTGTTCTCTCTACTTGGAGCATTTCTGCCCTAGATCTTCAGTGACTGGCTACCTTTCATCATTAAGCTCTCATCTTAAGCATCACCTGCCCCAAGAGACCTTCTCCTCACCCTACCCAAAGTATCTGTCCCTCAACTCTTACCCTCACTAAGTCAATCTACATCATGGTTAACTTTCTTTTTACCATTTATTGAGGTCTAAAATTTCTGATTTGTTTGTTTATTTGTTTTTCTATTACCTCTATCTCTCCCATAGCACAGAGGCTCCTTAGGAAAAGAACAGGGACTTTCTTTCCTTTTCTTTTTTCTGGTACTGGGAATTGAACTCAGGACCATGTGCTTGCCAGCCAGGTGCCTATGCCACTAAGCTATCTCCTCAGCCCAGAACAGGGATTTTCTCTCATTTGCATCATGTAGTGCCTAGAACAGTGCCCAGTGTAGAATTGGTGCTACACAAATATTTGGTGAGTACGCACATTATCCCGCCATACTCCACCAAAAGGCCTTCTCCTCTGAATCCCCAGTGAGTTCCCCCCACCTTTATCAAAACCCTTCCCTTGTCCTGGAAGTGGGAACCTCCCTTATTTGTCTGTACTTTTAGTATCCAACACATTCTGTTGAGCTCACTATGCCTTTTGGTCCTGATATTGAAAAATGCTCAGGGCCAGCCAAATAGCTCAGCAGATTCAAGTGTCTGCAAGCAGGCACAGGGGCTGCGGGTTCGATCCCCAGGTCTGCTGTGCCAGCCCTGCCCCCAGGGTGAGCTGAGACAGAAGTTGAGACTGGGCATGGTGGCATGCACCTATAATCCCAGCTCTTGGGAGACTGTAAACAGGTGAATCATTATAAGTCTGATCTGATAGTGAGACCCTGAACACCCTGTGGACCCTTCCTTAAAAATAAAATACCAAAGAAAAGAAAAAAGAAAAAAAGAAAGAAAGAAAGAAAGAAAGAAAGAAAGAAAGAAAGAAAGATGCTCACTGTGTGAAGGAAGAGCCTCAAAAGGGCTCAAGAATGGCAAAGGTGATCACAAATTCAGAGCAGAGAATTCAAGGATGTCCACTGAAACAGCGATATTTTCAAAGTAAAATGTATAAAATACGAACTTAGAGCATGTGTGGTGCAAATGTTGCACTATTATTATTCACGACTTTGATTGGTAATTCTTTCATCTTCAAAAGCAAATCAACTTACTCGAATAACTTTTGCATTCTAGCTATCATCCCGGTTGATGTTGTGCACTGACACATGTAATCGGGGATTTTAAATCACACCAGTTCACAGTGCTCTGCCACAATCTGCACCTCTTTGAATTATTCAGCTTATGCAAATTTCAGTATCCTTTTGTACAAATGAGAGTTCAGTAAAATTGACAAAGGAGATGCCAATTTCAGCACCTAGTGTCACAGTTGACTCAGAAGAAGATGCTAGTAAATGTTGGTTTCCTCTCTACCATTTTCAACAGATGGGAAGACAAACACACAACCTTGCCTTTCCCTCTACCTTTCAATTTTTAGAGCTACACACAGAGGAACCTTAGCTTTAGCAGATGTCCTGAAGTGGCATTACACACCTATATTGTTCCAGATCTACTCCTTCCTCTTCAGTTTTCTTCCCTCTATTGAATATTTATTGAGCATGTGCTTTGTGTCAGGTGCAGTGGCCCTACTAAGATGATCAGGTGAGACAAGGCCCCTGCTTCCATGGAGTTGACAGGCTAGGGGGGAACAGTGTGAAGTACATGGAGGTACGAGAAGATGTGCCAGGGACCCATCTGGTCCACAGTTCTGCCGAGAAAGATGTGGTCAAGCAGACACCTGAATGGCAGGTAGGAGTTAGCTAAGTGAAGAGGTCCCATCTTAAGCAGCACCATGGAGAAAGCTTGGATGGGAAAAAAGATTATCAGGGGACTGAAGGAATTTCAGTGCTGCAGGAGCAAGGATAGAGACCCTGCACCGAGGAGTTTCACTATCAACAGATTATGAAAGGCCTTGTTACCCTTGCCATACAGATGGACATTGCAAGATGCTAGGGAAGGAGTGAGAAGATGAGGCTGCGCCAATACTTATTTCTCATTTCATTGTTTCCTCTCCTGGCAGATATTTGGGTTAACTCATGCGTCCCAGAAATTATTACCACTGCTGATGCCCTAGACTTGGAAACGGAAACCTACCCTGTAGAGTACCCTGGCAGTGACGGCACCTTCTCAGCCTCAGTCCTGTACCCTACAACCCCTGCTCCCACCACCACTCCTGCTCGAGCAGCCACTTCTTCCTCCCGGAGGAAAAAATTGATTTGCATCACAGAAGTTTTTACAGAAACGAGCTCCGTGCCCATGGAAACGGAATCATCCATGGAAAATGGAGCAGTGTTCAGGAACGAAGCTCCGGGGTTCGGAGGTAAATGGGCCCGTGTCCATGCTATGTGCACTCGTGCAAAATGCTCTATACATAGCATCTAGCGTGTCTCTAAACAGACCACTCAGCACCTGCCAGGAATACATCAAAGCTTAATGCAGGCTCAAATTGAAGTCATAGAACTTGAGAGCTGCAAAGAACCTTACTGACCAAGCTACAACATTGTGAGTGTAACAGAACTTCACATTTAAAAACTCAAGACCCTGAAGTGTAAGTTACTGTTATCATGTATACAAAGAAATAGAACTTCAGGGGCTGGTGAGATGGCTCAGTGGTCTAAAGCACCTACTTGAAACAAGTTTGGCAAAGCACAGGGACCGCGGTTCAATCCTCCAGCACCACATGCCAGCCAGCCCGCCCCCTGGTGGGCTGAGCTGGCCACACACACACACACACACACTAAATAAATGTAATAAATAAAAATAAATAAATATTAAAAAAAAAAAAGAAAGAAATAGACCTTCAGTCCCTGTAACTTTATTCCAGGCCTCTGTCTCTCCTGCAGACTTCACTAGGTTGGGCCTCAAGGCCATAGGAAATGAACTTTATTTTTCATATTGCAACTATGTAGACAAAAGAGAACACCAGAGGCAGGGCCAAAGAATATGTAAGCAAGGAGCAGAGAAGCTGCTGAGGGCCCAGTGCACAAATGGTCAGAGAAAAGGCTTTTCTCCTGAACTATCTGCTCTACAGAGGAGGCATTCAATGTGGGGATGCACAGCAGGTAAGTAAAGGACCAACACGCCTCTGTTTCCCCAGGTGTCCCCACAGCTCTGCTGGTGCTTGCTTTGCTCTTTTTCGGTGCTGCGGCTGGACTGGCGGTCTGCTACGTCAAAAGGTGGGCTTGTTGGCACCCTGCCAGGCTTGTCATCTTTGGTACCTCCCGGTCTCCTGTTTTACTAAGGCTGTTGTTGGCGTTTTGTGGGCCGAGATGGAGCTGGCACTCCTCCTGTGCTGTAACATTTCTCTCACACTCCACCTCTCCTCCCACCCTGTCAACATGAATATGTCATCCAAGGTGTAGATACCTGTCCATGGGGCTGCCCTCTGAACACCAAGGAATGAAAAGGACAAGTTGACATGTACAGAAAAATTATGTATTACATTTGATTTGTGGTTCTGGGTCTTTAATGGAAGAGCTGGTTGCCTAAAGCTGGGCCTTTGAAGCTACAGTCTAATGTAAACAAATTGATTCATGGGCGAATGTGTTAGGATAGTGGAGCAAGAGTGTTAGCATCTCTTTGAAATAAAGGTGCTGGGACAACTGGGCTGGTATATGCCACTGTAGACGAAGCGTCACCTGCTGCTATGTGTGTGACATAGAAGCGTCTCCCTTTAATTTTATGATCTTTTTCTTGATGAATATGGACACGTTTATTTTGATATGTTTAATAATTTTACGTTTCCGTTTGCAGGTATGTGAAGGCCTTCCCTTTTACAAACAAAAATCAACAGAAGGAAATGATCGAAACCAAAGAAGTAAAGGAAGATAAGGCTGATGATGGCAACCATAACGAAGAATCAAAGAAAACGGATAAAAACCCAGAAGAGCCCAAGAGTCCACCCCAAACCACAGTGCGATGCCTGGAAGCTGAAGTTTAGACTAGAAGCAAGGAGGAATGCCTGAGGCTGGTTTCTTTCCTGATCCGTCTCCAGATAGGCGCCAGGTGGGGAAACAAAAAGAGCCAAAGAACCAAAGAAGAAAATTCTCTATCGGTTCCTAACAGGGGTCAGCTCGGGCCTTTCTTTGTACAAAGGAAGCCTTCTTTTCCCTTCACTCCTTTCTGGGTCCTCTCCTCCTACCTCCAAGTCCTCCCACAGCCATTCTAGCCTGGCCATGTCCTAATATCATCCGGGTGGGACAAAGGAGCCTTTAAAGGCCGAGAACCTACAGCAGCTCATCAGCACATATCTGTAAGCAGGTCTCCAGGCTGGCTGAGATACGGTGGGAGAGCAGAGAGCAGGGCCACTGGGACCAGGCTAGACCCACAGCCCACAGCTTTTTTTTTTTTTTTTTTTTTTAAACTCAGAAAAGGAAACACCTATCCAGCCTGGCGTGTCCTTACAAAGCCGGCACAAATAAAAGAAGGGCAAAGAAGCCGTGGAAATTCCCATGACTGGAGATCTAATCTTTGCAAAAGCACAATAAACAGAACACTGGCAGGAGGCTGGCGTTACCAACACCACCATAGCCAGCAGGAACTATAAACAGACAGAGGCCTTAGAGGAGGACTAAGAACACATAGGTATTCTTCTCTGAGCTGGTTCAGCGGCAGTCACTTTTAAGAACATACACACACTTTCTTTTCTTTCTGTTGCTGCCATTTTCTCTAAAATAGACTTCTATAAGGAACAACAAAAGTACTTTCAGAAACTTCTAGTTTTATCTGAGCTACAGGAACTATTACCAAGAGAAATTACTGTGCTAAAAAAAAGTAATGAAATTCAACAAGTGGTTGCCAAATATCTACTACAGGTTGCATATCCTTCCTGTAAAATGTTTGGATCAGACACGTTTTTGGATTTTGGATCTTTTTAGGTTCAGGAATAGTCGCATGCTTGGAATGTGAAAGATTGGTTGTGAGTTCCTTTATGGCTCATCTACACCTCGTAGGTTGGAGGAAATTTTATACGATATTATAATTGTTTTATGATTGAAATGAAGTTTGATGATGTAGACTTTTCCACTCGGAAGTATCATACTGTTGCTCAAAATTTGGAGCATTTTGGATTTTGGATTTTTGGGTTAAGGATGCTCTACAAGATATTACATGCTCTAACTCAATATTAGTCATCAAAACTTGAACATAGCAGAGTGCTGTCTAAAGCTAAATTGTCAAGCTTTGATATTTCTAGCTTATCTACTTCCCAACTAATTTTTATTTTATTTTTTTTCCCAACTAATTTTTAAACTGAGACTAATCTACTCATTTTCTCTAGTATGGCAACCATTATAGCTTTAATTTATTATTAACATACCTGAGACTTACATGACCTCTATACATCAAAGCATGTGTCTAAAATGTCATTAACAAATGTTATCACTAGCTCTAATTTTTTTCCAGCAAGAAGAGTCCCAGATGTGCAGAAATATTTGTGCCCCCAAAATAAATAAAGCACTTAGATAATTAATTTGTTCTCTTGTGTACATTGATACATCATCATATCTTTCCTGCAACATTAAAATCTGCACAAAATTGAAATCTGTAGTGTAGTCTGTAAAAGGGAAAACTTTGGTTGCTACAGTTCAGACGTGTGAACCAGAACATACATATGCCACAACGAGAGACTGTCCTTGTTTCAAATGGCCTCATTCGAAGTTGCTCAAGTACGTGCATTATTCCTTTACTTGAGATCAGGTCATGCAAATTATAGACTGCTAAGTGTCTTCCTCCTAACAGCCCTTTTTACCCAGAGGCCGTAACCTCTTGGGTTGTCTTTTAAGCTTGGCCTACAATTAAATTCAGTGTAATGGCCAATAATTGAAAATCACGGCATTGCATATCTATCTGTTTCTAGGTTCTCTTGGAAAAGTAAAGGCTCTGAAGATAGAGACCCCCAGTCCTGGGAGCAATGCCCACTCGAGGCCAAATCGTGGCTGTACCCATCCAGTGGGACGTGCTCGTCCTGTCACCACACACCTCTTCACTCTATAGCACCCTCAGGCCCTAGGAAAGGTGCCATCCCCCTGACTTCCTGTCATACCAGCCTGTGTCACTCATTTATAGGACCTGCTCAGCTCTGTGGGATTATGAGTCTGAGACCTTGCGTTGTCAGCCTCTAATCTTTATCAAGAACTGCAGAAGAAGAAAAAAGGGGAAAGGAATGAAAGCACTGGGCTCTTCTCTGTGCATGTCAGCAAAAAAATTATCAGAAATTCCACATATCTCCCATCTTTGGACATCAACTCTAGATTCGGATGCTATTTTAGACTGGCATGTGCCCTAACCAGCAGCAGGAGGAAGCAGGGCAGAAAAATGTTACCACCCACCCACATATGCAGTTGGCCTCCCACATCTTCAGGCCCACTTCCACAGATCCAACTGCATGAGAATCGAAAATATTGAGAGGAAAAAATTGTGTCTGCACAGAACACAGACAGACTTAATTCTTGTCATTATTCCTTCAAAAATATAGTATGACAACTATTTAAATAAGTATTATAGAGATGGCATTGGCATTATAGGTACTATAAAGATGTCTTAACGTATGGGAGGATATTCCTAGGTTACATACAAATATTATGTCATTTCATATAAGAGATTTGAGCATGTGTGGATTTTATTATGGAAGGTTATATGTTCAATCCCCTAAAGGCAAGGGACAATTGTAATCACTCAGTCGCCCAAAAGACAAGTGCAGATACACCAATGAAAATGTATCTTCCGTCATTATGAAAAGAAGGGAAGGCAAGGCAAGGCAAAGAAAGGAAGAAAAAAGATAGAGGGAGGGAAGAAGATAACATTCACTGAGCACCTACTAAGATGACAGTTCACATGTCATCTAATTTCACTTCAACACCTCCACTGACAGTTAATGAGTATGCTGCTATTTTATTAATCAGAAAATTGAGGAGCCGGGCAGATGGCTCAGCAGAATAAGCACTTGCCTGGCAAGTGCAAAGGCCTGAGTTCAATCCCTGGTTCTGCAAAAAAAAAAAAATTAAAAAATAAAAAAGAGACAAGCCTTTGGGGCTCGTGAGATAGCTCAGTGGAATGAGTGCTTGCCTGGCAAGCACAAGGTCCTGAGTTTGATCCCTGGTGCCACCAAAAAAGAAAAAAAGAAAGAAAGAAAGAAAGAAAGAAAGAAAGAAAGAAAGAAAGAAAGAAGAAAGAAAGCAAGACTGATCAGTCCCGCCCCCAGGGTGTGCTGAGATGGTGATTCAGACTGGGAGTGGTGATGTGCACCTGTGATCCCAGTGCTTGGGAGGCTGAAAAACAGGAAGGATCACTACAAGTCTGATCTGTACACTGAGACCCTGTGGACTCTGTACTAAATACATTAAAAAAGAAAGAAAGAAAATTGAATTTGAGAGACTTTAAGTTACTTTCTGAGATCATGGGTCATACATATAAAGGTAGGACTGGATCACAGGACAAGGTGAATCCAAAGCCCAAGCACCGTTCCCTACACTGTACTACGGTACGATACATATGTATCTCACAAATGACCAGATGAGCATGGCCAGAAACTATTCCAATATGCAAGCTTGAAATGGGTCACTTGCCAAAAACAACTGGGCTGAAATAAAGACTGGAGTAAGACTGAAGTGACTCAGCACTCCTGCATCTCTGGGCCACAATAAGGGAAAGAGAGAAGAACTTAAGAGAAGTAGCACCTCGTGAATTCAGACACCAACCTCAACAAAGACCTGCCTGGCCCAGCTCAATGGTCAGAAAAGGTAAGGCTCAGAAAGGCCCAATATCAGCTACTTTCCATTCTTTTTCCAGAGTAAAAATAAGAAGCCAAATGTCACAGATAACAAGTAGTGGAGCCCTGTCTCTAAGTCTCCATCTGTCTGCTGAAATTCTCTCTTTATTCACCACCGAGCAAAAAGGAACTGGAACACCAGGGCTCACCCCGGTTCAGAGCTGCAAGCCAGCCCATCCAAGCCATCTTCTAAGAGGCAGGTAGAGAGCCACGTGACATTTAAGGAGGGTATAAATGATCTTCTCTGTAAATGCACTTTGATCAGGCCTGACTCCTCGGCTCAGACATACTAGATCCATTTCTTTAGCCAGACATCTGCTGTCCCAAGGACTCTTACAAGAATGCATGTCTTCATAAAGGCCAGACCACATAGAATGCTAACGTGCCAATATGCGGCCCATAAAGACAAGCTGGTTCTCAGGACAGAGAACTGAAGTAAAACAGAAGACTGAAGGCCCAGCACAGAGCTTGCACACAGCTGGAGTCTATAAAAGTCTATTGGCTTGAAAAGAATTTAATAATATTGCTTTCCAGACCGACAAATCCTACATTTCGTTGCTTCTAGTCTTTCAGCAAGAGCCCAAAGCAAAAGCAGCTGCTTAGAGAAGAATCGCTTCCTAAGGGCAATAATGATAACATGCAAATAAATAACTCTTATTAAGGAGTGAGTCACTCATGCCAAAAAGAATGTTCTACACCTCCAAGCCTGAAGGAAACCAATCATTTGTCAGGTCAATCTTCAAGTTAATAGTAAATAAAATTTGGTTGCTTATCACCAAAACAGTTTCTATATAGGCTAAAAGCTGACCAAAGGGCATTTTAATAATGCTCAAATCAGAACAGAGTGTTCTCCTCTCTAAATGGTCCCCAGGAAAAGGCCAAATTTCCACACAGTGCTATCGTGATTGAGGATGTGTCCTTTTAGTATCTAAAGACAATGCGCTTTTTAGGACAAACTTTGAAAATTTCCAAATAACTTTACATTTACAAAAGAAATGATGAAGATGGTATAGAGTTTCTATATTACCTCACCTAGTTTCCTTAGCAATTAACATCCTCTACCAATATGCAACATTTGTCACCAACACTTGTTTGTTTTCTGAGACAGAGTCTTGCTCTGTAATTTGGGCTGGCCTTGAACTCTCTGTGTAACCCTGGCTGGCCTTGAACTCACAATGATTCTCCTGCCTCAGCCTCCCAAGTACTATGATTATAGGTATAAGTCACCAATATTGATACATTATTAGTAACTGAAACATGCACTTTCTTATTTGCTTCATGTTTGCCTAATGTCCTTTTGCTGTTCCAGAATTACACACAGGGCACCACATTACCTTTAGTCATCAGGTGTCCTCAGGCTCCTCTTGGCTATAGTAGTTTTTTATACTTTCCTTGCTCTTGATAACATTGCCAGTGGGTTGTTTGTTTACTTGTTTGTTTTTGCATTTTTTGCAGTTTTACTGAAACACAAATAAACATGCACACAGGCCGTCTACTCGTTTTCTTTGCTGTGCAGCCTGGCATTGGGATTGGTGACTCGGATGGCTGGCTGGGCTGCTCTTTTCACGATGGTCTTGTGGTTCTTAGGGGAGACATTATGAGCAATCTCTGCGCAGTAAGACATCAGCAACACCTCCAGCTCCTTAACATTGTGCACCAGGAACTTCCAGAAGCCGCTGGGCAGTGTGTGCTTTGTCTTTTCGTTACTTCCATAACCCATGTTGGGCATCAAGATCTGGCCCTTGAACCTCCTCCGCACCCTGTTATCTATACCTCTGGGTTTCCCCCAGTTTCGCTTAATTTTGACATAGTGGTCTGACTGTGCTGGATGAACTTCTTGGTCCTCTTTTTGATGATCTTGGGCTTCACAAGGGGTCTGAGGGCCACCATGGTGCCAAGTGGGAGATGGCTGCCACCTCCGTAGGCAGCGCCAAGGAAGAGAACATTGCCAGTGTTGAGGAGCCCCGGTCCAGGATTGTGTAGAACGTCCCTCAGCACAGACTTC